TGCGGTGCTGCGAAAACGTTGGAATAATGTGTTTTCAGCATTTCAGTAGATTCCGTTGGAGTGGCTGCAACTCTTCCAGCGCTACTCAGTACCGGTATATCAAACTTTACTTTCCGAATGGAGTTGAAGTGTTTGTAAAACAGCTTAGGGTTAGACATGAATCTTTGTGCTAGCGCCTCTTGGTATTTCACTTTATCCTCACGAATCAGCTTGGTGTAGTGTTTCCTCAGCATACGATAATTATTCCACGTGACAGCATTCGGAAGACGATTATAATCTCGCTCGTCGATAGCCATTTCCTTGTGCGACTTCGAATAGGTGAATTTCGGATGCCGGATTTGGTGATTACTCTAGTTTTAGTCACGGATGTCATTAGATTTGTGAGATTGTCAATAAATTCCTTCCACGCGACCAACGGATTGGACTCTTCTTCGTAGGAAATCCACTGAGTAGAGAGCGCCAAGTTATGCAACGGTGTGTAGTCTATAGATCTGCGCGTGTTACCTGGGGAACCTCCTTGAATCGAAGCGTAACAAACATATTTGAATGTAAGTACTGCATGATCACTGCGTCCAAGAGGGGAAGTTACATTGACAGACTCTACTATCAGCTCCTCATTGGTCAAAACTAAATCCAGTATGGACGGCGACTGTAGGTTTCCAAACCTAGTGGCCACCTTCACATGGTTGTATAGTGAATGCGAGTCAATCAGCCGTTTGAACTGATGTTCGAAAAATGGACGGATGGTCGCTGATTTGCTGACGTTTTTCATTAGCGGCTGGCTTTTTCGTCACCATTCTACTCTCGAGACCCGGATATGTTTGCGCATATCTTTTGCAACTATACCAAACGAGATATCTGACTTGCAAGCATTATGACAGCGTCACGTGACCCAAATTTTTCAATCATGCCCCAAATCTATGAGCCTTTTCGCAGAGGAATTAGTCTAACAATGGGTGTGCGAAAGTAAGCGCAACGTGCACTACAAATGCGCCCAGTCTGATCATTCGCGCATGGCATGTTTTTTGCAACTTGGTCGGTTTTCTGCTGAATTTATCCGCTACCAATCGTGAACGGAACACGGCCCAACATTGATCGCGCTAGTGGACTGCAAACAACGGTCCTAGGCCACACGTGGTGTGTACCGAAAATAAAAACGGGTTTGAACTTGTGTGCTTCCTGATAAGCGCTGGAGCTTATTTTCGTAGAGTGTTGTAAAGGCGACATTTATTCGTGCAAAAAAACTCTACGTGTACTCAATTACTATGTTGTAATGTTCTTCTGATCAGTAATCATCAATCTACCGAACTTCAAATCTGCTGGTAATTCAAAGCTTGTTAGTTTTCTCACAAAGTATTGAAAATCGGTTCTCGTAGCTGCTCGAGTGAACTGAATTCCATTTTTCCGAGCTTGGCAGTTTGTTTTCAAACGTTTCATCACCAGCGGAGGTGATATCGTCATGTCTAAGGATTTCCTGATTGCTATATCAGAACCATATATAATCACGTAAATTCATCCTTCACGTAACAGTTGGTTGAAATATTCCGTTCCTATTTAGCGCAATGAGTTCCGGAAGAATTCAGTTTCACCTAATCCTTTCGGTGTCTCGCAAAATGAGAGGAAACATTGGACCGATACACCATCTTTTAAATATGCCACTTCGTCAGGCTTTTGGATTTCAAAAAAAAAGAAACACATCAGTTCTTGATGTGTACAAGAGACGAACAGTGGTAGCGTTTTCGTTCCATTCAGATGGACTGCCAAAATACGTTGAACAAATTTACCAATTTAGCCAGTGAACGAAATAAAAGTCCACTTTTTGATCGTTTTATTATCGAGTAAACTCATTATGGGATATCCCACATGTGGGACACATGTATCTCGAAATCAGATCGGATGACTTTTTATTCCGGACAACGGCGCTTATTCACACTCAATTTCATCGCAAGCTGCCCAATGTGCGATGAATAGATCCTGCGCATATCGTGAGAGAATATGACGTATGACGTAACCGAATGGGCGAGGGTGAACCAAAGACACGCCGTACATTCAAAATAGCACGTACACACCGGCCACCTGCGTTGTTGGAAGTTACGCCAAACCAAACCAAACCATACAAACACAAACGACTGGCACTTTGGAAACAACATGATAAGGTCAACATATATTTACAACTACAATATCGCATCAGTACACAACATTCTTACGTGATTCTCTATTACAAGTCTATCGTAGAGCTAGAAACGTTTTGCTGTTATTTTTGCTAGATCTTTGGTTAATTACGTAATCATGAAATAAATTCAGTTTATCTCATCAAATGAAACACGTGAAGTTTAATTTTCATTTATAAACGTAGGTGTGATAAGTCAATCGAACATCGTTACTGTCAGTCAGCTGAACAAAACGATCAACGCACTTTAAGAGGATCGAAAAGTCGAGATAGTTAAAGTAACTTGCAGTCATATCTCATTCAGGCCTAACAAAAAATTGTCTGTAGATGTGGGTCGCATAAGCCAATTACTGACCGTTTGTTACCCCGCCGGTGGTCGCGGCCAATGCTTGGGTGCGTCAGAGGTGTTCGTGTCATAATTGCAACCCAAATTTTAACACAAATGAATTCCCTGACACCGAACGACAACGAGATTGGGGGACCGTTAGTTTAGTGGACATGGTGGAGTTGTAGGCAACATACAACGTGTGTTTCGGTTATCTGGTTCCAATGCAATCAACTATCTTTCTGCAACGCAGTTGTAAGAATGAAAAGTGAGAAACACCTACCCAATCACGAAGATACCACTATGCGCAGAATGTCGTTATGTTTTACTCTCTGACTAAAATGTGTTTTGGTATGTCGGTCAGTGTGGTAATAAGGATTTATCTGAACCCTTTGCACTGATTGGTTCTAAAACCACAGTCTTTCCTATCTATGCCTACGTCTGTTTCTTACATCCGTATTTTAGTCACTAATGAATTATTCCTTCGTGGCTATTGATACTGCTTTTTCCTTGGTTACCGGTCTTCACTGAAACCTCTTCTTTAATACGTTTGATATGATTCGATTTTTGTGGCTCTTAGAATTGCAATTTTGGGGTTTAATTTTTGGTGGCGTGGAAGCACATCTATGGGTTCGTTATTGTATCGAAGGTTTATGGGATATCTTACCTGAAACATTGTGTCTTTGGGCTGCGGACACGTGGGTGGTAATTCCACAGACGAGAACATCGTCTTTGGTTCGGGAATTGGAGGCACAGGTTTTCGGAAACGCAACCGTCCAACTGGGGGCTGAGCATAACGTATACCTGATATGAAGAAACACGAAAAACAAGAGGTATTATGCATCCTTCCTTTAGATTTAACATAGAGGCATCTTTTCTGGTTTGAACTAACTGCAGACTATCAAAGCCGTATGCATTATTTGAAAATTGCGCGAGTTTTGAGCGTCCGATAACGGGGTTACCCAAAGACGTAAATATGTATGATGAGTGCGGCATGTATTATTTAACGTGGTACTGTAGTCTGTATCACTGCACGTAGATTCTATTTGGAAATGCACAAACTCGAACCCACTGGAATATTAAATGTGTATGCGTGTACATGTATCGGTTTCAGACAATTAGAATTCACTTGCCTCCCCACAATCAGTGGGACTGAAGTTACTACTAAACGGTGTTTTAGCAGAGGCATACCACACATGACCCCGTAAGGAGACATCCGGTAGGGCAATTTCAGTAGGAACGCCTAATACCGTCAGTAAACTTTGGGCAAATCAAGGTAACGAGAAGATGGGTTTCCGGTTCCCTTGATATCGCATTTGAAATTCTGTGACTGCAAAACAGACCAGTAATTTAATTTGAATGTTCCCTTGTTAGTACTGAGAAGACGAGTCGCTGAGCGAACGAAATATTCCTGGCCATATTCTAATATATCATATAGTGGAAAATTACTTTAACATGATAGGCATTGGCTCATTTTAAGGTCAACAATCAGAGGCAGAGAGTAGAGGATGTGACTGCATCATTATTCCTGTTTTAATAGAAGAACATTTAGTTTTTTTGTTGATGTGACCTTTCTCCAGTTGGGGCAAATGGCACATCATGTTCTGTTTTGGATACATAGGCTACGGTCTAGTAGGTTAATGGCGATTGCCTCGGTCACGGCTAATGTCCAAGCTCGGGTAGCCCTCGATCGATCGACTAGGATATGGTAAACATCATCGAACGCTTTATCTGGTTCAGTCTTGTGCGCGGAGTCGACGAGATGACCTACAATCATGCCAGGTTTTGCCTTGACTTACCCATCGCGGGTGGTGTTCCTTAACTCGTAGAGACAAACGCCTGAGCACATGAACCAATGTAACATGCACCACAGACGCACCTAAAGAAACAAACTGTCATGAATGCGGCCAGTTTCGGCAGTTTGTCTTTCACGTGCATTCGCATCACCGGTAATAGAGAGAATATTGGTCTATGTTTGGCTGCGGTGAGAGTGGAATTGACAGCCACTCCCGGTTGCTGTACTAGGCTATCTGTGCATGAGTCCCCTTTGAATGGGATCCTTATTGTGTTGGGAAGTGCTGTTTAAATTGATCGTTTGTTTTACTCCATCAATCATGTTTTTATGATTGGTCCTTAGACGACTTGAATTTCGCAAACCACACAATCTAATTGGTTCACGCTTATATGTAAACGCCTGTGATTCCCTTCCCATGGGATTCGGGCCCAGTGGACTAAAGGAAATATGTCGAGAGCATTTCCTGAAGAACCGACTTTTGACACTTATGAATAGTTCTTTCTTGGGGATACAGATGGAGTTTTCCTTCTTCGGATTGAGCTGACATTTTTTACCGATGAACCTATCCGGATGACCATTTTTCCGCTGCCTCGGTGAATAAAGTGTAGTTATTCATCTAGTGTGTCTGCTGAACAAATCGTCCGAGCTCTGCAGGTTAAACAGAAGGCTAGATTGTATTTATATTTCACAGGAATGAAACTATATACGTTAGTATATTTATCATTCCATGTTTTCTTTCTGTGGGTCTATCTTCTCATTGATCCATCTTCTCTCATGGACACGCTACATCCAGAAAGGTCGATATTTTCTTTTTTTCAAACTTTACAGTAGATTTCAGTGATGAACATGTTTCGTTAAGCGCATTCAGCCTCTGAGGGATGTCATTTTCGTGATAAGTCACACGGAAGATATCATCCATGTACCTACTCCAGTGTTTTAATCGTTCCGCAGTTGAGTTCAATGTGCTTCCTTATAGTTTAGCCAGAATGTTTAGTTGGCAACGGACGGAGTGGAGATTGCGTCCCAATTTCGTCAGTTTAACGATAGATAGTACCGCCAAATAGAAGCTGGACGTTACGTGTGCAATGTTTGAACAATTCCTTTAGGTTTTCTTCCCGAATACCAACGCTTACTGCCAGCGTTTCTATTTGATCATAGATGAATTCCACCGACTCCATCCGGGGTACACTGGTGAAAATTGAGACGACACCCAAGGAACTCATCGTCTCTTTTGCACATCCAATTTTTCTTTTTAGCTACAAACTGGAAACTGTCTCGAAGATCATGCGTGGCGAGTCTACGACACAAAGGTTCCAGTAATTCAACGAACCACTGTATCATAATAGGTCGAATTGGAACTCATTCCTTGTGGATCTTAGGGAGACCGTACAATCGAGGGTTGATGAACCCATATGTTTTCATTCGCTCGAGTGTCAAACTTTTTGTGTACTCCGGTGTGTTTAGTGCCTTCAGTAGATCTGTGATTTTTCCCCTAAACCTTTCTGTTCCATCCCTTCATCATCCGAAATTATTTCAGAAAAATGTTCTAATTAATCGTTTTTGTTTATAGTAACCACCCCGGTGCCTTTATCTGGTTTGTGTAGCATGATATCTTTGTTCTTTCTGTGCTCCCTCATCGCGCATAAGCGTTCCACGGTTGTGTGTGTGTGTGTGTGTGTGTGAACCTCGCTTTAATTATAGGAGCTTGTCACCAGCAGACTTTTAAACCTTTCCAAATCCCCCTCTGAATAGTTTATATAAGATTTTTGGTTTGGCCCATCAGGCTTTGAAATTGCACCTCCAAATCAATTCAGTTATGTCTTTTTGGGGCAACAAACTTCCATACCAATGATAAGGCGTCCATTTTTATAGAAGATAGCTGCCTATCAGACAGATTATGCACAGATCTCTCTGGTTTATTGGAAAAAGTGAACATCTGTGCGACCTTGGCGGAATCCCATAGTAAACCTTCGCAAATCATCCATCAGTTGTATCGATTTGGCTTTGGGTGCTCGACCAACTAACTAGGCAGACCCGAGCGCCACCTTAGCCAATGAACAGTCAAACATTCCCGTATGAGTGAATAAACTGGTGAATGAATCTCAGCAAAATGATCAAGGCCAAATTTTAAACAAGAGCTGCACATCAGGGTCATCGATCGATAGTCACTTGTTAGAGGCTGGACATCAAGTGAACGTAACAACGGCAATAAAATGTGTTCTCATCACGTCAAATTCTCGGTTACTCCAGTTCGCATTTGCGATCACTGTAAAACGATGGAAAGCTGAGGCGTGCAAGTAGGACCTATTTGTAACTATAATCCTGCTTTGGTAGAAATACTAACAAATTTAACACAAACAGATTATCCGCAGTAACTGTCACTTGCTAGATTTTACTATGTTTTTCGACTATTATATACGCAGCTAATTTTTCGGGGAAATAAATTGTGCAACACTGGGCTGTTGTGTTCTCGATTCAAGTTAAGCAACTGTCAGCACGGATGGAACGAACAGGTGAATAATATTCACTTACGATTTCTATATTATGTATTCTCATATTATTTTTTGTTTATCACGATTTGTTTTACTTATTCACTGGACAAAATGTTGAATTGCTGAAAATTCGCCCTTTGGGTGCATTAAGCGTTTCTTGACTTGAAATCATCGTTATGATATGTGAAATCACTAAGGAAATATGTTAATTGTCCGAATATATCCTAAATTGCTTTCATCAATTCACACTTGCTTTTCAAGTTAAATTTTGTCTGCAGGATTTAATCAATCGACGACTTCCTACTGAACACATTGGAGCAGATGCAGTTTCTGTTTTGTTCATGAGCAATACAGACATTGACACACTGACCAGTTATGATTCAAATCAACATCTGGGAATACATATCTCATTGTGAACTGTTTTTCAGCCGATAAGCGGATAAAAGTCGCAAATGCATTCTGTTTTTTCCCGCGTTGTCATTTGCACATAATGTAATAAAAAGGGGCATTCTGGATGCCTAATTCAATGATTTTTGCCCTTAGATAGGCATATGAATTCCGATGCAGCCCGCGCGGTGTGAAACCCAACGCAGAGTACACTCGACGGATAGCGGGATGTTTGGGTACAAATGGAATGCTGCATTGATCGAACGACCATGTAGTTTTGTTGGCCCAGGTTCGCGGTCAACTTGCAGTGCGTTTCCGTTCACCCGTTTGTGCGTCCAACCGAAACTGGATGAAAACAGCCATTTGACTCTGCGAATAACAAAATTTTATCACTGAATCTGGTAAACAAATCTGGCGACAAAAACGTGATTCGTAGTGCCTCGATAGCCAAACGACCCGCCACAGAGATGGAATCGATTCGAGAGAGGGTGACAAATGAAATGCATGAGAAGTAGTAGTTATATTTGCGAGTATTTAGGAAGTGATTTGCGAGGAAAGCCGAATCAAACTCGACAACATCTCGCACTCTCTATGATGTCCCGAATTTTTCCGGAACACATTTTAACGAAAAATATACATCACAGGAGACTTTCTACCATTGCAAAATAATAAACAGAAACGCTTTATTGTTTAATTTTTTTCTTCAGACTAACTATTAAATTTGAGAGGATGTTGTACCAGCTGATTGAAAAATAACTACAGTACTGGCCGATTGTTATGCACTGAAATATTTTCTTTCGGATAAAATTGAGTCTCATTATATTTATCTCCGGTATTATGGCTTTAGATATGGACAATAATCTCTCTTGTCTAGTTCGATTTACGTACAATCTAGGCTGCATGATTGTGAATTTAACGTGCCTGACCTTGGTTGCCAAGATTAAATAATCTGAACATCAAAATCGTAAACTTCATCAAGGATGACAACGCAACATTTTCTGATAGGAACGACTCAAGAATTATCTCAAATGATTTCCATAAACCATTGCCATCTAGGTCATTTGTTACGAGGCATTATTTTATCTAATACATAATCCATAATAGTAGCTCTATTGAATGACCAAATGAAATTCTTTCACCATCCGGAGAAATTACATCAAATAAGGTTTC